CTTTAGGTTAAAGCTCTTGAATAGCCTTTGGATACAGAATTCGTTCGTTTTTTTCTTTTGAAATGAAAGCACCCTTTATCAATCTCTAATAGAAGATGAATCACAAACATCTTGAGGTAAAACACTCGGAAAAAAATTTGACGTTTTTTGGTTATTTTGATATGAAAATTCTACTTTTTGTTATTATTATCTTATAAAATTATCAAGTTTTATCAATAGTATCTAGACGATTCGCCACAGTCAACTGCTAGTCAAGAATAATTTTTAACACCCTTTGTCCTTTTATTAAAGATGTTAATTTGGATCTTATTTATAAAAATACGATATTTCTAACAATGAATTAGATAGAGACATTGTTAAGCCAATCTGATGGTGTAGTGGACCGATAACAATATGAAAAAAAAAGCAAAAAAAGACCTGAATTAATTTTATAAAATAACCGACAGTCTAAGAAGCAACTGTACAGAAATATGAAAAAGACATGCGAACAAATTTTCAGGGATGATGAGATCCTTCGCTTGAAAACAAGGTAAATTAAAATGTAAAACAAACCTCATATTGGACAGTTTAACAAAGTAAAGGACTCTTTGCTCATTGAATATTGGGCTAGTTTCAGAAGCAGAAACGAAAATGAGAGAAGGTTTCATTTTTAACCAACAATTTTTGGTCCCTCACTGCCAGAAGAAATAAATTTTAAATCTAAACCGGGTAATAAAAATCGATTGATTCAGATCATAGAATGGTGCCGGCTAAAATATTTACCACAACTGATGCCATTTTTTAAGCAAACCGGCCGATATTCGTGTGATAATCGCCTTTGGTCGAAAACAGTAGAATTTTGACCTTTATTGGCAAAAATGCTCATAAGGTGCTACTTTCGACCAACCTAATCAGCTCCTTCAAGGGGCACTTTTATAGGGATTCCAATGGATTCTTGCATTGATACGTCGTGATATGTTTGCCCGATTTGAGAAACTTTGACCCTAACTTTCCACTGATTTCGGTGCCTTTTGCAAAAGCTAATTTCCTTCAAGTTAAATTGAACGAACCGCCATTCAGCTAAATTCCGCTTTATAATATTAATACATATTGCATGTTGGTTTTATGAGCTTTCAGTAATTATACTAGTGTGGCACAACAATGCTGAAATTTCGAGATATAGAGAGATCCTGATGGGAATATTTGCATAACAGCTGTTTTGGAGTTGTGATTCTGATATATTTGCGCTGTCTTATTGGTGGCTCTAGCAAAGCAATCAAGAACTATTCGCAGTCAAATTCCCGGAAAAGGGAACATCAGTAAATTGTTTTGATCTACCTTTCAAGTACAAAGCGGCACGGATCAAGTATGTTCAATACTTAGAAAGGAAAACACTAAGCTCACTGTGAATATTTTTACAGCCTGGACGGTTAAGGTGCATTTCAGACGTCGTTTTTACTCAATTTAATATTTCAATTAATTTTTGCCCATGTATGCATCAAATTTGTGTTTGCACGGGCAACTTGCAACATTTAATTAAATAAACAGAGCCAGAGGGAGCGTATTAGCTTGCCGCTCGCGTTTGCCTCTAATTTGACTAAAATCATAAATTTTGCCGACTGCGACGCGTTGAATGGGAAGCTGGAAATAGTCTTGAAAAAAACTGAAACTAGGGAAAGTTCATAAATAGACGCAGAATATGAAAAACACCCTAGACGGTGGTCAGTCGAAGCTGAGGCCTATTATTCAACATGATTAATGTACGAAACGTCCTGAAACAACAGGAAAATTTGTATCAATTTGCTGGCGGCTTCATAGTTAATGCGGATAAAAAGTCCCGGTTCTGCAAAGTTTCGTAATTAAATGGGGGCCCTCCTCAGCGATCCGGGGCTCGGGTCAAGTTTACTCGCAAGATAAGATGCTCGAAGATTGTTGGTATTCGAATCCTAACCCGAATTAATCAAACACAAACACATTGTTATCGGGCTGAAACTAATTTGGCTTGAGAAATGCCACCACGTACGCTCTCCGGGAATGTCCTTCGGAATAAATCGCTTTGTTACATTATTCTATGGCAGGATTGTGTAAACTAGAATGGCTGCCAACTTCTAGTCAAGTTTCCTCCTTTTACTTTTCATTGGACGATACGGCGGAAATAAATTGTTTTGGAACGGAACGTGACTGAGTCACCGCTTTAATATTTTTGAGTTCAACATTCCAATAGTTAATCTCAAATAGCTGCGTCGGTTTGGAGCATTTCAAAAATTATTATGCGGTTTCAGGTCGAAGTTGGCAGCTTATGGATCGGCATTTTACACATGGTGAATGTATACGCTTTCGTTAAACTACTTTTCTTATTTGGATGGAATTTTTATATATTTTATGCTATAGAATGGAGATAGTGTCAAGTACTCGTTAGTGCTCACATTAACAAATGGATTTTGCATGTCCAGAAGTGCAAACACTCGATGGTTTAGTTGCTTGAATTAGAAAAAATATCAACGGAACATGCATTAAAATTGGTGATGCAAGAAGTGTTTCTGACGTTGAAATGTTTCTTTTCCAAATGTTCTAGYAGCATTGAAAGCTGTTTTCYAAGRAGTTCAGTGGATTATTCTKTCAGATATTCAGATTGTTGGATTGGATTGATGGATTGGAAAATTTAKGCCAACGCGAAAGCTGCTTAATTGCCGCGGATATTTGTGCAAATAAAGATTTAAAAAGATTAATTAAGACAAGAAAAAAAGTAAAGAAGTTGTGYATTTTTTGAAGTGATAACTTTTTATGGGAGGGTGAACAGATTTTTTTCGGTCACGGAGAGCCGTAACGGCGGCTCCCACTCCGSCCTCTTCGCGCCTGAGGCTTGGGACGCACAAATGCACTTTGAATTCGATATTTTTCTTTTAGTGCGGGTTCATCTGTAGATCTGGTAAACTTTTCRAATACACATTGCGTTATTAAACTGACAGTGATTTTGATTTCTCAATTATTAAGTGTGATATTATTGTGTTCTGTGCAGTTTATTTTATAACGCTGATAACAATGAATCAACAAATTATCAAGGGAGAAGCTGCAGATACTGCAAATACTAGATAAAGGGTGCCCATGTACTAAATGCCTGTTCGAGTTTCGCCTTATTTTAAATTTCCAATTAAAGCACACACACAATTATACACACTAAAGCAGTTTAAATGCAAAACCATGCGGATCGTCCATCAATTTGCAGAGAAATGTATTACAAACTTTTCAAAATCTTCAAACGACCGGGTATTTATCATTGCAAATGAGATTGAACATTGCCGTGCACTGTTAAATATTGTTTTAAGAACAACATTTAATCGATGTTGTGCAACAAAATTGTGCCTAAGATCCGCTCCAATAAGGTTTTTGAAAAACTGTTGGACCTATTTTAAATCGCCTGATTGATTAGGGACGCAAATTCGTACCAAGAAAAGATTAAATTAAATTAAATCGTATCGATACAATCCCGGTACCAATTCCCTATGTCTTACTCTCCGTCTGTAGTCCAGATGCTCCACAGATGATGTCCATTTGCATTGTATTGCACGATTAAAAGTTCCGAACTGGTAAAATATTTCTACCTACTTGTTTCGTGATTTTCATTGGACACAATTGTTAAACCAGATGTTGAGCGGATATTTTCTAAAGAAGGTAGGGTTTTGTCAGGTCAATTTATGAGAAAGGCTCAAGATTAAGTGCAAATAAAGTGTCACAACTATTATTAATAACTTTTAATGCAATAATATGGTCTATTTGTTATTTTATTTTGTAACAACAAATTATTAATATTGAGATATCTATTTTGTAATCTTTCGTATTTAACATAAAATGATCAACATCATTACTGTTTATAATAGTATATAATAAATATGTTTTGAATTTAATTAAAAAAATATTTGAGTTTACCTCGATTATTTCAGAAAACATGTGTTCCGTCTTCTTATTTTCTATCCTGCAACACATCCTTGATGTTAAGACGATACGAATCTCCCATCAGCTTATAGTTGCGAAATATGTAAAACGAATTTATTAGGGCTTATTTTCAATTCTCTATATTATTTCTATGATTAATTTTGTTTACCACGCATCAAAATGGATGTTTTTCCTTCATATACCCTTTGATTCCTTCATGATTAATTCTTCTCAATTTAGTTTAATTTTTTTAGCCTTGGATTAGTTCAGTTAGAATTTTTTTTTCGACTCAAAGTCGCTTTTATCAACCACGAACTAGTGCTGAACGTAAAAGATTATACAAAGCAAATAAGAAATTATTCTAAAAAAATACAGAAACTCAAGAAGAAGAGTTTACACAAACCCAAGAAGAGCAATATGTACATCTCGTTAAAGAATGTTAAATGTTGCAAATAAAAAAGATATTTTACATTCAAAAGGAAATTAAATTAAGTTTTGCCTATTCCTGATCCAATTATAAATTATTAAACTAACAAAAATATTAAAATTATAAAATGAAATTATTATTGCCATCATGCGTTAAACAAGTTCAATATTTTATGGTTTCTATTAATTTATGAAGTTATCACTTCTGTCGAGCGTCCCGTGAGGCATACAATTTTTTTTTCGTACTTCGTGTATAAAAGAAAACTATACAATATTATTAAAACTTCGTTAGTGTGAACAGTTCTGGTTCTGTAAAAGAAGTTTTTGTCTTTTCGCACTTACGCAATTTTAATGTAAATAGTTTTGTCAAATTGTTAATCCTAGTAGCCGAAAAACACCTTGAGAACGTTTATTTTTTAAGCTTTTCAGCAAACATATCTGGGTTTCTCCCAAATTTTAGCTCTTGCATATTTGTTTCTAACGTACGAGTTAACGGATATTGCTGACGCTTTTGAAATGACGAATCAGTGCAATTAAATAAGCAAATAATGAATTTGACATATACAATCTAAATGCAATCAATGAGAATAAGAACAGTGAGGCCAAATTAGGCTCTGGAACTTTTTTGCCAATTGGCTAACGTTTTTTTAATTTATTTTTAGTGCCAGCAAAGGTAGTTTGGGGAGTTGCAGGACTGGATGCATTATTGCCTTGTGATGTTACACCCGCCCTACCAGGAGACAATGTCACCATGATATTTTGGTTCAAAGATACCATTGGAATGCCTCTGTACAGGTGAACTTATTAAAATACAGTTTCAGTGGAAAACCAAATAAAATTGTCAATTTACGTTATCGTTTAATTTAAACGTTTTATTTGAACCTCAAACCACTGCAAAAAATGTCTAGGTATCAAAAAAACATTGGAACAATCAGGCATAAAACCGCTATCAATTTCGCCCCATAAGGTTGATTAATATTCCATCTTTTCCCGTAAGTTTATTCGCCTATAATGTGGTGCGTAAAATGCTTTTACGAGCACAATTCATGCCTCGAAGAGCAGTTGCAAGCACTGAAAACGCTGGACCTACAAATATTTAAACAATACGCCATAAGGGGCCATTATTGAGTGCACTTTTACTGCACCGGCTGCATACTGCGCGAAATGGCTCTCATAAATCGATTAAATTTTCAGCAATTACAATTGGCAGCTGTCGTTCTTAAAACACCTCGCACG